AATCTGACTCCCCAAGCGCCAACCTGGCTCCCCAAAGATTCAAGAAAAACATGTGACTAGTTCAAATTATAAAAGTATTTTAATAACTACAAATCCTTTACCTTAACATTTCAGCATGGTTTTCCAAAGCGAAAAACTCAAAAGTTAGGCAAACCTCTTGACAGAGGCTTCGGATATCAAGTTTTCCTTCTGATATATCCAATCTTAAAGTATGGCACCAATCCATCCAGATCTGGATTCTGAAACTATTGACAATATAGTCTCACACTTTCTATTACTAAATAACGTCATGGATATTAAATACCAAATATGTTGTCCAATTACAAATGACTTATGTAGGATTCACTAAATCACCCAAGTTTGGCAAGCTTTACTCTTAATATTGCAATTTGTAATTTTCAAACTTTATTTCCAATGATCGAGTACCACATTTCATAATATCATTTTTATAAATAAAGTGAAGATGAATACATTTAAAGTTAAAAAGGCTATTGCAGTTTGTATGCTATAAAACAAGGTCAGCATTGTTGTCAGGACAAAATAAACTACAGTGAAATCTCAGCAAGTCAACCTCTGATAAATCAAACCTACTGTTCAGTCAAACAAAGACTAATTATTCCCTTCAGTTGTATAACAGTGATATACAACCCTGCTTGACTCAAAATCAGCATAGCTCACATTTTGAGCCCATTCTCTCAAAGTTTGACTTATCGAGATTTCACTGTATATCAAAACATAAATGTCTCATAAAATTGATTATTTGTCCATTTGTATGTGTACCATATGCCAGATATATGTTAAAAACGGCTGCCATTTTAATGGCCAATGGGGGAGGGGGGTAGGGTGGGGCAGATTTCCACTTGTTGAGGTGTCCAGAGGTCTTTGTGAGAGTTTGAAAGAATGTGCAATAATTCGTATGGGCTCACACAAGCTTCCTTTTGGAATACACGTATGCCCCCTTTTTATGAAAAAAAAGTGTGACATGCCCCCAAATTGGAGCCAAAGAATTTATGAGTTGACATGTAACCATTTTTCCTAACCAAATTATAATGGATTGAAACAAAAACAAAACAAAAACAAAAACCTCAAGATTGCCTGTTACAGGTCGATTTTCTGTTAGCGACATGTGACCCCCACTTTTTAAAATGCTGCCCACCCCCAAAAGAGGCAAAATTGTGGAATGTTTTTCTTTAGATGTAGCACTTGGGTGAACTGTCCGAACGCGAAAAAGAAAAGTAAAATTTTTTGCAATATTTTTTTGCGCGCAATGCCCCCATTTTTTAAAATCATGGCCACGCCCACAAAAGGGTCAGAAAAAAATGGCATCAAGTGGTTTTGAACTTCTTGAGGTATCCTCTAGTGATCCTGAGAGTTTCAAAGAATGTACCCGAAATTGCATATGGGCCGTGTACTAGGTGCTGAAACCACAACTTCAGGAAGGCTATTCCGTATGTCAGTGCATCTGTGCAGAACCGACCACAAAACCTGTTCCCCCACGTTCGAGGAGCGATTTCCGCCCTTGAGGGAAACTATTGGTAGTTTTCCTAGCCCAGATAATCTGATGTTGTGGGGAAAAGTGCAGCATTTGTGGAGTTAGATAGATTGTCCCTACTCCACATTCTCAACATGTGCCCAGTGTCTTTCGAGCAGGGTCGATTCACACGACAGTGTTTTAGCATGCTTAGTTAGGACCCTAAGTCCTTGGCAACAGTGGCGTAGCCAGGAACTTTTCAGTGGGGGGGGGGGGGGGGGGGCCGCTGGGGGCTGGAACATTTCATGAGGGGGGGGGGACGTCATGTAGATCAATGATATTTTTTTTTAGAAACTCAAAATCTCAGTGGGGGGGGCACTGGGGGGCGACCCCCAGTGCCCCCCCCCCCCCCCACAGGCTGTCGCCCCCCCCCACACGCCCCCCCCCCTCCCCCGTGGGTACGCACTGCTTGGCAACATCAAAACATATAAACATGATACTGTATGCAAATCTATGCAAAGCATGGGCATCAACTGGGGCACCGTTCCAGCAAGTTTTCTACATGGCTCATCTGCTTTATTTTTTTGTTCATATTCCCCTGTTTCAAGTAGGTATGTAAATTGTGGTTAGACGCACTGCAGTTCCTACTTATTGATAGTTTAACGAATGGATTAGATTATCGAGATCGTCAGTGTTTCAACAAAAGCAACACTAACCCTTTCCAACTACAAAAGCATGATAGGTTTCAAACACTGAACATTGGCGCCCCTCTCTTAAATGACAGTTGTCAGAGATACTTTCCAATTCAGCAAAAAGGAAGCTTATCACCACACAACTTGCACATAATAGTGGTAAACCTTGTTACCATTTTGCTGGTTCCGTGCAGGGTTCTGGGAAACAAAATATTACTGTGATTTTGAATGGTAGGTCCAGACGTAGGCCAGTCCTGCATAGGTTTTGCTTGATGAAAACCTCCTAACGTATTTAGGATTCATTGCTAGCTTCCTGTTCCTACATTCGAAGTGTATCCGGCAAGACCTGCACTTGGGGTGTTTTTTTCATGTGATGTTTCATTCAATGGTAAATAACGTTTGTATTGTTATTAGAGAAATAACCTCGAAAGTAGCACGGAGTGTCATCATTATCTGGAACTCCAAAATAGTTAAAGCACCGTCTTTCGATCGCAATGTCTCCAAAGTTCGTGGCCCAACTGAATGATTTTTTTGCTGATCAAAAGCAAAACAGTACTATTTTCGTTAGTGGAAAGTTTATTATGACTTTAATCATTTCCCTTTTTAGGAACGGTGAAGTTAGCGCATGCGTTCGTCATGTAACTGTGCTCAGTTGAAACACTTCGCTCGAACAGGACAATGCATGGAAATGGCTCATGAATTCAGGCTCTGATTGGATAGATTTTGCGTAACCTGTGACCTGAAGTCATTACGACCACGACCCTGCAAGGTTTTAAACGGCCGTTAGGACTGATTCATTACTCTGCATAAATGCTTTTGTTTTTGTTGAAAAGCGTTATAATGTAGGAAAAACTTAACTGTGTTGTAAATTTGTGATTTCCGTCATTTGCACAGGCTCCGTTTCGAATTCCCGAAGGGTCAATGATTGCATTATGCGATGCTCAAAATTGTTCCACAGTGTCCGCAATGACAAAGAAATCACTTCCGTTATGGAATGTGTGCATTTCTATGGGAGGTTTTCGGATAGCATTTGCGCGCATTGTCTAACTGCGGTCTTTAACAGCTGCAGCCAGATGCTTTATATGAAGGTCATAGGTCACTTCCTTCACAAGATTTTGTGCAGCTCATCAGCCCTTCCTTGCGCCCTGTTTCCAGAGCGGTGGGTACGAGCGATTGAAATACACACAAATAAGCACAACATGTATAAAATCAACACGTATTTCTTCGGTTGAAATCTTATGAAATGGCATATACAAACAAGGCAACATAACTATCTGGCATAGACAATACATAAAGTTTGTACATACATTGAAATAATCGTCGGAGGTATGCCATGACTAGTTTAGCCTGGTTGACTGCGTGTAGGCAACGGTTCCTTGTTCTACGATACGTGTAGTAGAAGTACGGTGAGGTTATATACCACTATCAAAGAACACCCTAAGTTACATGTCAACGGACAATAATAGTATCCCCATTTTATAAGCTGACCTTTAATTTCAGCACACTACCCAGAATTACGAACACACGTAGAAACTTTGTACCTTGATCGGTCTACCGTTGCAGTTTGCTGATCATTATTAGACTGGATAGCTGATCCCATACTAACACGCTGGCCTGATTCCCAGTAGAAGATTGTGCTGTACGCCTTTTTTGTTGTGTATGCCTTCCATACACAGGCGTGCCATACTCATGCCTAGAAGGGCATCGCGCATGCGCCTGTCTGTCTGAACCTTGTGGCAGCGGGGCTGTGTTTTTCATGTTCGCGCAGTCTCGACAACTATGTAAATAGAACGTCTAAATTATGAGTGTTCTTAGAGTTTCTTGCCTTTTGTTCTGCATCCACATGTCCTTATGTAAGTTGACATCATTTGTTTTGCTCTCAGATAATTAGAGTAGATGATTTGGGTGCTTAAATTGTGGAATTCTTGTGGGATAAATTTAAGCTTCTTTTCTTGTATAAGCCATGTTATGTCTCGTAGATTCTCTACATGTATCGTTGTTAGGCTTCGTGTTATGATTATTTAGAGTCCCCTTTTATTACTTGTTGCAGGAGTTACACATTATTCTGCAGTTTGGACAGACGTCGTGGAAGAGTATGCTAGGTTTTCTAAACCTTGTGAGTGTTAACCTTTGAAGTTTGTCAATGTTTAAATTATCGTTAGAAGCCTAACTTTGGTTATATTCTTGTGCGACCCTTGACATGCTCTATATTGTGTATTGTATAATGTACTGTGTATTGTATAATGCGTTGTTATAATCATCTCAACTGCACACACATTGTTTAAGGGCCTACATTTATGGATTGTTTTTACAGCGTGATTACATGACACATCCATAGAGCTTCTGATTTTCCAGGAAGATTGGAAATCCACAAGTCTGTAAGTTTTTGTTGACTGGACATGGTAGCTTTTCATTTCATGTACACATACCTGTAATTATTTTGGTTTCACGGAATTTCTCACTATTTTGGATTCCCGATGTATTTGAATGTTTTGTACGATCACATGAGGATGTATCTGTCTTTTTCTTAAACTGTGTTAGGTCTTTATTGAATGCTTACTTTTTCACATATATGTACATGTACCATGTAGACATGCATAACCGATACAAGTTTTTTGTATTTTTCTTACAGTTTTACCGTATCTAGGCAAGGGAGTAGTTCTGGATTAAAGATGAGTAATTTCAACTCAAGTGTCTTCCAGTTTACTTCTTAATGCCGTGTGGTTAAACTACTGGATAGGGGCTTTCTCGTTTTGCTTCGAGGCCAGTATAGTAAAAAGACTTACGTCACCCAGTCATCGACTCAACGTGTCTCCTGGAGGACTTCAGAATTCATCATGTCAATCAAGTCCGAAAAGCCAAGCCAACCGGACTTCAAAGAGGAAAACTCTTTGGAAATGCCATTGTTATCTGAAAATGGAAACTCTCACTCAGCCCCACAGGATAAAGCCCCCAGCCTGATTTCAAAACGGTCCAGTGCCAGTGCACTATCATCCTGTAACTCTGCTTCACTGAAGGCCCGCGCCAAGGCTGAGGCGGCCAAGGTGAGGTTGGAGTTTGCTCGCAAGGAGGCCGAGCTTAGAAAACAGAATGCGACACAGGAAGCTGCCCTCCTTCTACTCAACGCAGAAAGGGATGCTGCTATGGCGGAAGTGGAGGCTGCGGTTCTCGAGACCGGACAAGACGTATGCGGATCCTCAAGGAAGAGCGATGACCTGAATCTTCCCAGCGGAGGCTACAAAGAACGAGTAGAACAGTACTTGTCCTCTTGTAAAAATGCAAGTAAAACTGTAGATTGTCAAGGACATACACAGGTTAATGATTCCCTTACTGCCCCCTCACCCCAGCATCTTGATTCAATAAAGGTAATATCTGAGGTGAGCAACATGTTAATGAAAAAAAAGTTAGTAACTAGTGGTTTAAGAATGTTTAATGACGAACCAGGTGCTTACAAATCTTGGAAAGCATCTTTCAAACAGGCTACAGCAGAAATCAAAGTAAAGCCCTCGCAAGAAATGGACTTGATGCTCAAGTGGCTAGGAAAAGATTCTTGCAAGTTGGTAACACCGATCCATTCGATCCATGTCGACCGCCCGGATGTAGGTCTCAGCAGGATGTGGAACCTGTTAGATCGGAAGTACGGCACCCCAGAGGTCGTCGAGCAAGATCTGCAACAGCGAATCGAAGGCTTTCCAAAGATCTCTCATCGGGACAGTGCCAAGCTCCTTGAATACAGCCACTTACTCATGGACATTGAGTATGTCAAGGACATGGACAACTGCCCAGGATTGCTACACCTCGACTCTGGCAGAGGGTTACGCCCCTTAGTGGAGAAGCTGCCGTACAACCTTCAGGAGAAATGGCTGATGGAGGGCGCTCGTTACAAAGACAAACACCAAGTGACTTTCCCACCATTCAAGGTGTTCAGCGAATTTGTGAGTTACCAGGCGAAAGTACGTAATGATCCCAGCCTTACAACGCCTCACGACCCCAAGCAACACGATGCCACCAAGAGGACTGTCAGTGTAAGGGCTACTGAAGTTGGGAACGTCAAGCAACCTAATGCCGGAGGAGAGCACTGTCCCATCCATAAGACCGCTCACTCCATCGTGAAATGCCGATCCTTTCTTTCCAAAAACCAACCACAGAAGAGGGCCATTCTGAGGAATCATCATCTCTGCTTCAAATGCTGCATGCCGCAGCATTCTGCACGTGAGTGCAAGGCAAACGTCAAGTGTGACTCGTGTGGCAGTGACCAGCACATGTCCATTCTTCACAACGATCACCAGACCCAATCAACGGAGAGGTTGCAAAAGCCAACTAATGCTGCTCAACCGCAAATCACCAGTGCATGCTCCAAGGTCCAGGGGTCGATGTGCTCGGCCGGGATGTCCTGTGCTAAAATCGTCCCAGTTCTAGTGAAGTCAAAGAGGGACCAAGGCACTTGTGTCAAGACTTATGCCATCATCGATGACCAAAGCAACAAAACCATAGCAACACACAAACTTCTGGACAAGTTCAACATTGACTACGGAGAGGTCAATTACACACTGCGAACCTGCAGCGGAGAAGAGGCTGTGCACGGCCGGTGGGCAGATGATTTCGTAGTTCAGGACATCCATGGCACGGTGAGTGTAGACTTACCTGCTGTTACCGAGTGTTCTCTCATCCCAGATTTCAAAGATGAGATCCCCACGCCAGATGTCACCAAGGCGTATGATCACCTGAAAGGTGTAAACATACCGGAAATCGACAACAACTGCACGGCAACTCTGTTGATAGGGAGAGACGTCTCGGAGGCACACCATGTCCTGGAGCAAAGGATCGGGCCCCCTGATACACCGTTCGCACAGAAGTTGAAGCTTGGCTGGGTAATCGTTGGCGAGGTGTGCCTGCAGGGTATCCACAAGGGTGACAATCATCGGAGCAAGATTTCATCATTGCGTACCCAAGTGCTCTTCACAGGACGACCTACCTTTCTTGAGCCGTGTCCGAATGAGTTTCAAGTGAAGCATCTATTTGACAATGACTCCGATGGTGTTAGCCTGTCCATCCAAGAGCAGCAGTTTGTAGATCTGATGAAGAGGGAAGGAGGCCTGGAAGATGGACAGTGGACAGCACCATTACCCTTCAAGCAGCCAAGAGACCGACTGCCTAATAACAGACAGCAAGCCTTCAAACGTGCCCAAATTCTTCGAAAAGGCATGGAGAGGGATTCCACCAAGAGGGAGCACATGCTGACATTCATGGAAGGGGTGATTTCTCATGGCCACGCGGAAGTTGCGCCTCCTCTTCAACCAGACGAAGAGTGTTGGTACTTACCTTTCTTCGGCGTGTACCACCCCAAAAAGAAAGACAAGATCAGGGGTGTCTTTGATTCTTCAGCCGAGTTCCTAGGCCACTCTCTCAACAAGGTACTGTTGAAGGGTCCTGACCTCACCAATGACTTGGTGGGCGTCCTCATGAGGTTCCGTCGGGGACGTGTAGCAGTTTGTGGAGACATTGAATCAATGTTCTTCTGTTTCTCTGTGTCGGAGAGACACCGGAACTTTCTTCGCTTCTTCTGGCACAAGAACAATGATTTCAACAAACCTCTCATCGAGTTCCGTATGCGTAAACATGTGTTTGGCAACACACCCTCACCAGCGGTAGCTACGTATGGTTTGAGAGATCTGGCTAAAGATGCCGAACCTGATGTCCGAGAATTCATCAACAATGAATTTTACGTGGATGACGGACTTGCGTCATGTGATGACAGTGACACAGCCATCTCGCTTATCAAGCGCACCAGGTCCATGTTGATGGAGAAGGCTGGTGTTCGTTTACACAAAATTGCTTCCAACTCCCAAGAAGTCCTCGATGCATTCGAGCCAGAGGAAGTCCAGAAAGACATAAGGAACCTCACGCTCAGCGACGGTGTACCCACACAGAGAAGTTTGGGCGTTCTGTGGAACATATGTGATGACACCTTTAGGTTTCAAACGGACCTGGAGGAAAGGCCCTACACGAGACGGGGTGTTCTGTCAACCATCAACGGGGTGTTCGATCCTCTTGGTTTTCTCGCACCAGTCATGATACAGGCAAGAGTCTTGTTCAGGGATATGACTGCACACAACGCTGGTTGGGATGATAGCCTTCCAGATGAATATAGAGTAGTCTGGGAGTCTTGGAAGTCTGGGTTAGCTGAGCTGCAGTACCTGTCAGTTCCCCGTACCTACCCAGCTCACCCTGAGAATGGAGTGCTGCACATCTACTGTGATGCTTCTGAGGTGGCGGTTGCTGCGGTTGCATACTTGGTAGGAGCAGAGGAACCCAGGTCGGGATTTGTCTTCGGCAAATCAAAGCTGGCTCCTAAAGCAGGCCATACTGTTCCTAGACTCGAGCTTTGTGCTGCAGTCCTGGCGACGGAAATCAGCAAAGTGATATGCAGGGAGATGGATATTCAGCCTTCAGGTGTGAAGTATCACACAGACAGCAAGATTGTTCTTGGGTATCTGAACAATACTACCAGACGGTTCCACACATACGTCGCAAATCGAGTTCATAAGGTTCTCAACTTCTCTAGGCCTTGCCAATGGATGTATGTGCCCACAGGCAAGAACCCTGCTGACTGTGGCACACGTCCGATTGCTACACAGAGCTTAAAGCACTCCTCGTGGCTTGAAGGTCCACAACAACAGGTGCCGGTATCAACGGAGGTCACGTCATCAGAGTTCCCCCTGGTAAACCCTGAAGACGACATCGAAATAAGGCGCGAGGTGAAAATCCAGGTAACTAAAACCAAATTGGAACCAGCAAATCTTGTCTCACGGGCCAACAGGTTTTCAACGTGGACCAGCTTGATCAGAGCTTTCAGCCTGCTTGTTCACGTGGCCAGGTCCTTCAGCACAAGGAATGAGCAAACCCAGAGTCATGTCAAAGATGTAAAACTCAAACGTGATGTCCAGACAATGATGGTGCGGATGGTACAAGAGCAGTTCTATCATCAGGAACTCATCTGCCTGCGAGAAGGTACACCCTTACCACGTGGCAGTCCACTCCTAGACTTGTCGCCAATGCTCAACCAAGATGGGCTGATCTGCGTTGGTGGACGCCTAAGGAAGTCTTCCCTTCCAGTGGTATTGAAGCATCCGGTACTGATTCCTGGAAAGAGTCACATTGCTAGGCTTCTTGTCCGACACTATCACAGTGTTGGCCATCCTGGTAGGCAGTTAACAGAGAGTTCTTTGCGCGAGGCTGGTTTCTGGATAACAGGCTGCAAGAGATTGGTGTCCTCGGTCATTCACCACTGTGTTGTTTGTCGAAGGCTAGAGGGAAGTTGGCATCACAGCGCATGGCAGATCTCCCGGAAGAACGTCTCAAACCCGGCCCTCCCTTCACTCAGGTTGGCATAGACTGTTTTGGGCCTTGGGAGGTGGTCAGCAGAAGAACCCGAGGCGGGACTGCTCAAAGCAAAAGATGGGGAATGATATTCTCATGTCTCACGTCCAGAGCTGTCCACATCGAAGTCATTGAGGAAATGAGCACTTCATCATGCATTAACGCCCTGCGACGCTTCATAGCCTTGCGAGGCAAAGTCGAAGTGTTTTGGTCTGATCAAGGATCAAATTTTGTAGGAGTGATGAACGACAAGCTCTTTCAGTCTTACCTTGAGAAGAATGACACACAATGGAAACTGAATCCTCCCCATGCCCCTCATATGGGAGGAGTTTGGGAAAGACTGATCGGCGTGACCAAAAAGATTCTCAACGGCATCCTGCTCGAAACCAAACATCAAAGTCTTACTCACGAGACACTAGTCACTTTTATGACAGAGGTCATGGCCATAGTCAACGCTCGACCTCTCGTCCCGTTGACCTCCGACCCAGAGGATACTTCCTTCCTCACCCCATCAATGTTGCTGACTCAGAAACATGGAAGTATCGATGAAGTGATCGTCGAAGACTCCGCTTCCAACATGTACAGGGCTCAGTGGAAGATGGTTCAAGTTCTCGCCGACCGGTTTTGGAAACAATGGAGGCTCCGTTACCTCCAGAGTCTTCAGCACAGGCGTAAATGGATCAACCCGGAGAGAAACATTGCAGTTGGGGACGTAGTGTTGTTGAGAGATAAAGACATCAGGAGAAACCAGTGGCCTCTGGGTATTGTTGACGGTGTCAGTCCTGGAGATGATGGATTGGTTCGAAAGGTGAATGTCCGTTTGCCATCAACTGGAAAGACGTATGCCAGACCAGTGCACGAGTTGGTTCTGTTGGTGGAATCTGGATAACCAGATGCCTTTGTCTTCGTAGGTGTGAAGTCATTTGACGTCTATTGGACGTCGGTGGGGAGTGTGCTGTACGCCTTTTTTGTTGTGTATGCCTTCCATACACAGGCGTGCCATACTCATGCTTAGAAGGGCATCGCGCATGCGCCTGTCTGTCTGAACCTTGTGGCAGCGGGGCTGTGTTTTTCATGTTCGCGCAGTCTCGACAACTATGTAAATAGAACGTCTAAATTATGAGTGTTCTTAGAGTTTCTTGCCTTTTGTTCTGCATCCACATGTCCTTATGTAAGTTGACATCATTTGTTTTGCTCTCAGATAATTAGAGTAGATGATTTGGGTGCTTAAATTGTGGAATTCTTGTGGGATAAATTTAAGCTTCTTTTCTTGTATAAGCCATGTTATGTCTCGTAGATTCTCTACATGTATCGTTGTTAGGCTTCGTGTTATGATTATTTAGAGCCCCCTTTTATTACTTGTTGCAGGAGTTACACATTATTCTGCAGTTTGGACAGACGTCGTGGAAGAGTATGCTAGGTTTTCTAAACCTTGTGAGTGTTAACCTTTGAAGTTTGTCAATATTTAAATTATCGTTAGAAGCCTAACTTTGGTTCTATTCTTGTGCGACCCTTGACATGCTCTATATTGTGTATTGTATAATGTACTGTGTATTGTATAATGCGTTGTTATAATCATCTCAACTGCACACACATTGTTTAAGGGCCTACATTTATGGATTGTTTTTACAGCGTGATTACATGACACATCCATAGAGCTTCTGATTTTCCAGGAAGATTGGAAATCCACAAGTCTGTAAGTTTTTGTTGACTGGACATGGTAGCTTTTCATTTCATGTACACATACCTGTAATTATTTTGGTTTCACGGAATTTCTCACTATTTTGGATTCCCGATGTATTTGAATGTTTTGTACGATCACATGAGGATGTATCTGTCTTTTTCTTAAACTGTGTTAGGTCTTTATTGAATGCTTACTTTTTCACATATATGTACATGTACCATGTAGACATGCATAACCGATACAAGTTTTATTGTATTTTTCTTACAGTTTTACCGTATCTAGGCAAGGGAGTAGTTCTGGATTAAAGATGAGTAATTTCAACTCAAGTGTCTTCCAGTTTACTTCTTAATGCCGTGTGGTTAAACTACTGGATAGGGGCTTTCTCGTTTTGCTTCGAGGCCAGTATAAAGATAGCAGGCAGTAATCTGCATTCTTGTTCTGAGTGGTCCCTACCATGAAAAGCCCAGTGTTGTCTGTGAGCCTTTAAATTTAATTGACTAACGGACTGACTGACTGTCCGAAGGCGACAGATCGACGACCGAGCGACCCGCCAGCAAATAATTATAAACGACCGACCGACCGTTGTAGACGTTATTACACAGAGTGTCATGAAAAATGGGCTGTCTGCTTCCTTTCACCCATACTCCCTATCCGTGCCGGGTTGTAGGTCAATTAAAGAGCTAAACTAGTAGTTTTTGTCCAAAGTTCGGTAACTTATTGTAAGTCCTTGCCTATGCTGTTTCCTTCCATTCAATGATCTATTCTCCTTTAAGAGAATTATCAATTCCTACCTCCAACTTCCCTGATTATAATTTTTCTTTTCAGGATAGTTTTCTTCTTCCTAGCCCTTTGCCAAGAGTGGCTTGTATAGTCTTGCTTGGGCGATTTTCTAAAAAAAAAAAACAACAAAAATAAGGTCTCTTGTGAAAATCAGATGCCGTGAAAAGACTTAAAATAGGTATTAGAAATGAATTAAATGTGATTTTTGTATGTGCTTTGGAAACAGCATGACTAGGTTAATAGGCTTCTATTATTGACTAAAGGCAGTATGATAATATCATGGTTTCCAAGTGTACAACTGAAGGAAAACCCTTCCTGATTAAGGGACAACCTAGCTGACACCACGTTTCCTCTTCAACTGCCGCACATGCACATCACCAGTCTAATTATGTTAAGTAGGGACTTTTCCAAGTGTGCTTTCGCAATCAGACCGACGGTGAAGCACAACAATGTGCGGTTGCTATGGAGCACCTAAGGTGACAGTGCAAACAAGGACATATTGCACGCTCGGTGACCCTGCAAATAAGGCCAACAAAAAAGTCTCCGGTTTCTGGTATGGAGCTTGCCCAAAAAGTGGTGAGGCGACGCGGCTTCCCCCCTCCCGTTTTTTTTTGCTTCAAATGTCGGCTGATGACTGCAAATGGTGCCCAACTAAACCAAGTGCAAATATATGGGAGTCCAGATAGGCCACATAAAGCTTCTTCTCGATCATAACCCCATCTAAAAACACGTAACAATTGTGCAGCAGCAGGATTCCAGTCAAACCAGTTAGTTTGGCGGTTTTGAGACATCATCTTTTATTGAAAAAAAAAACTTTTTCATTTTGCCGACGCGCATGGCTACGGCGACGCGCGAGCCTTTTTTTTTGGCCTAACCCGGAGCTGTTTTTTCGAAATCAGACCGACGATGAAGCACAACTTGAGGCGGTTGCTATGGAGCGTCTAAGATAACAATGCAAACAAGGACATATTGCACTCTTGGTGACGATGCAAATAATCAAGGGTAGCAGCTTTTGTGTAGCTACTTTTGTAATTTAGGGCCTTTCTAAATTTCAAAATAGTTTTATTCAAAAATAGATTGGTTGAATTAAAAAAACCTTAAAATCCTGAAGCAGCGGTGTAGCTAGGGGAGGGGGAGGGGCGTCTCTCATAAAAATCCGCCCCCAGTCTTTTCCAGTGCACATTTGGCAATATGATCGGAGAAAATAAGAAAAACATGATTATCGGGTTTAAAATAAGGTGTCTTATTTTTATAATTTTGGCGACTATTTCTTTTTCTTTCAAAATTGGATTTTAACTTTAGCGTCCCGTGCATTATAACGATGCCTATACATTGTGTGACGATGACCATGAATTTGGTTTTGAACAGCGCCCCTATTGAAAGACGAAGGTTCAGTGTCAGGGAAAATAAACCTGTCTACTTTTCAGCACGGATACAATTGGACGCCCCAATCTGTAACATCCAGCCCCCTCCCCACTCACCCCCCCCCCCTCCCCCAGGATGACAATCCTGGCTACGCCGCTAACTGAAAGCAGTGGCGTCACCAGACTTTTCAGTCTGGGGGGGGGGCACAGGGGGGGGGGGGCACCAGCATTTGAGGGGGGGGGGGCACTTAGGTGGATACGGATCGCCGTCCTGGGGGAGGGGTCTTTGGAAAATTTTCGCATACGGAGGATGGGCTAGATGCAAAATGGTGCCACATTTGATGCTAAATTCGATCTGAAGATATCTCAAGAAATTGCTATTTTTGAGGTAATGATTTTAACAACGCGCAGAATTTTGCAGAGGAAAGGGGGGCACCAGCATTTGATGGGGGGGGGGCACTCGGGGGGCACTAGGTTTTCCAGGGGGGGGGGAGGCACGTGCCCCCCGAAATAAAAAGTCATAAATGTGAATGATTTCAAAAAGAGTTTATTATTTTATGTTAATATTATGTGAGAATCAGCTGTACTGGAGCAGCAATACCTGCACAACCACAAGTAAAAGTAGTCCTACAACGAAGGGGAAGTTTCTCTTTCCGAGATTGTCAACGATCACACGATCAACTTAAGTTATGACCTCCATTTTCATTTGAAGTGAAAGCTAATTTCAATAATTCCTTTCAGGATTCGGGCTTGAAGAATTTGGAGCCATATTCTTTCTTTTTCAAAAGCAATATTGGAACAAACTCGCTTTATAAATGACAGGGCAGATGTAATCTAAGCGATGTTGTGTAAACACAATGTGCAAAATGCACATGTTAGCAAAATTGCTGAAAAGCTCAAATGTCGATCAAGAGCACAAAAACAGTTAAATCTTTTTTTCACGATTTAAAAATAAAGTTGATTAATAAACTTGACAACAAAAATACTTGAGTATGTTGTGTGTTTTTGTTTTTCAGAAAACATGTAAACGAATTTTAATTTAATTTATTTTAATGATAACAAAAGTATGTGAGTGGACGAGACTGATACTGATAGGTCACAAGTCATGCACATGCCTAGTGCATTTTGTTGAATGGAGCTCAGCTATCCAAGCTGCTGCACTGACAATAGGGGCATTGTTGATGGACCACAGACCCAGATTAAGCTTGAAAATGTCCTGGAAATCCTGTGGTTGAGTTACTAATCCTCTGAAGTGGTTTATGTGGCTCTTGCTTTTTCTTTTGAGTAAGGAATCAACCATTGTACAGAAACAAGTGGGCATTTTGTGGTCGCTTTTCATGGCTTGCGGTCGTTCTGTACAGACTTAAGCATTCATACGGAAGCAAAATGTGCGGTCGCTGGTCGCGTTAAGCAGGTGGTCTTTCTATACAGGACTTAAGTAATGGGATTTGTCAGCGGGGGACTTTTAAATGGTCGTAACGGACAGGTGGTCTTTCTGTACAGTGGGTCGCTAAGGCAGGTTTGACTGTAGTTCATCGTTGCAGTTAGACCGCTCCGTTACCCGCATACATGATGATCAGTCACGGTATGACCAGTCACATTCTGACAAGCATGTGACCTCCTTTGTGTATCTGATTGGTTAGCATAAACATCCGGTGAAATCAGGTCCGATGCAATCGGATGCAAACAAAATCAAACATGTTTGATTTCATCCGGTCGCCTGGTGTAAGGTCAGTTCGGTCCAAAGTTTCACCGCGCACATCTGCACGATGGCCCGAAGATCTTGTGAAACGGTACAATCGGAAAGGTGTGGGCAAGGCATTAGGTCCATAAGTCATGCAGTATGCACGTCCAGTCATTCCAGGCCTGGTTTAAGGTCAGGTCGAGTCAGGTTAAGTCACGATACGTCGTGCATGTCACGTCCAGTCACGCAAAGTCACCTCTGTCCCTTCAAGTCACTTTATTGTACGTCACGGTCGAGTCACGTCACGGTCACGTCAAGTACCGTCACGTCAAGCCACATCGAGTCACGTCACGTCACGTCACGTCGAGTCTCCGTGAAATCAAGTCAGCTTGCGTGATATCACGCCGCAGTCCACGTGCCGTCAACAACGACGGATGTGAAGCGACCAAAAACCGGTTGTCCTTCCCAAGCCTTCTTTGCCAGATCACATAGCGCCCTCTATCCTTCACGTCGTGAGGAATCAATGTTTTCCCAGAACCCTGATAACTATCGAAACGCTCGTATAGTTCGAGTGCATATCATTTACAAGTTAAAACAATGCAGGTTCGCCAGTTCCCTTTCTACATGAAATTTCCTTTTTCTTCAAAACGTTCGAAATAATATGCGTACAGTCTTTCTATCGCTTTTTGTTTCACTTTCGAAGCAGTGAGTGTCCTTAGCAGAATACGTGTGTAAACTAAATCACTTCCTCGTTTGCCTCGAGCAAATACGAAGCACGCAGAAAAAGAAGACTTTGGGTTCTTCGTTTGTCTTGTTGACATGTCCATGATGAAGTTATTTGTGGTCATTTTGCTCTGTCTGTGCTTCTGGATGAGCTACATTGGTAAGTCAAATAATCAGCGTGATTTTAACTAATATTTTAACTGCCAGGTTGTCAAAGACAATCGACCCAAATGATTTGTTGTGTGAATGATTTTCATATTATAATTAACAGAATACCCAATAATTATGAAGTTACGTGTTGCTGTTCCGCACATAAATTTTAAGTTAAATTTAAGTACTCTGCCCATTTCTGTTAATAAGTCTGTTGAATTTTATTTTTAAATAATTTCATTAAATGTTTGAATTTTGTTTGTTTGTTCAGTGTGTTCCTGAAAAAGCAGGCCCAGACAAATCAGCGGCCATATCTAAGCAAATATTCATGTGAGACTAAAAGATTTTAATTTTTTTTCACACTGTCGATATTGTTTACTGACTGGAGAAAAACATAGAAGATGACTACGACAGTTATGACTAGAAACTTAAGAGCTTCATAAAATCAAAATTTACACTTTCTGCGGCATTAATGGAGAGAGGAAGACCACGAACCTGTAACCACGAACACATTTCAGATGCGAACAAGAACATACTTCATATATTCAAGGGGTAATGTTTAATTTACAAGAAACAGATTTAATTTATGAACATGACAAATATATGTGTTGTGAAATAAACACATAGTTTCTTCTTGTTTGCAAGTTGCATAGTTACTTCTTGTTTGCAAGCACCTTGTCAATCCTTAAAGGTGCTACTTAATGGGTCTCATATTTCTCATATTGAGGGCCTCCATGGAAAGCAGTGCCCTGCACTGATCGGAGCTACCCTCACTAAAGATGACGTAAATAAAAACTGCATGTGAAAAGTGTTCATGTGTGATATAGGTTCGTGTTCTCTCTCTCTCTCAAATATTTTACTAGAACCAGCTAATGCTGCAAACAGTGTACACTTTGATTTTATGGAGCTTTTATGTTTCTAGTCATTTTTTTTTAAAGTTTTAATCAATTCAAGATTTTTTTTCCTCAGGCAATAAACAACAAAAACTGCATAAGAACACACACACAAAAAAGTTTCACACGAATATTTGTTTAACTATGACCGCTGATGTGTCAAGGCCCACAATTTTTCTGGAACACACTGTCAATAAGTTAATATAATGATTAATACAAGATATTAAAAAAAAGTAAGGGACTTGTTTCCGAAAGCAAGCCTTGAAACAAAATGCTGATGTTACCAGAAACATCTTAAATAACAAAAACAAATTTGTGAAAATTCAATTTTGTGAAAGTAAAACATTGTATAGTTCACATTGGGCTATAGGTGCCGTTGTGAACATTGGCATAATAATAATTAGAATAAGAATGCATTGATAACAATCGATCAGAAAGATTTCCTTTCAGAACTACCCAAGATTTTTTTTGATATGCATAGAATGCGTACATAAATAAACAATAAATGAAAAGGGCTGTGGGTTTATTCGGTATCGAAAAGTGTCAAACAGTAAACAGCAGTGTTTCTCATCAAAACAAACTTTTGATTTACCTATGAAGGGATCTGCAGTATGAAACGGAACATCTTAGTTGGTCAATGGTTAATCAATGCAATCACATGATACTATTTCAATTTCACCCAGCAGGATTTGAGGAATGAAAATACTTCTGTGTAGCCAAGCTTCAGCCAATACATTTTTTTATTGTAATGGGAGCTGACATGTGTGTAGGCCTAATTTACATAACTAACGCTTATCCTGACTTTTGTTTTATCTAAAGACAGATTTTGATACATTAGTTCTGTCCATTAGCTAGATACATTATCTCGTAGGAGAGAAGATCATTGTCTTAACTTTGCAAAAACATTCAGTGCAACCCTCGCACCGAGTCTTTATTCCCTCCTTCCAGATTTGAAAGCCATGGTAGAAATCTACGGAATTCTAAGAGCATTACTACTCTTTACACAAAAACTCATCGTTTTAAAAAAAGCCCCACCCCTTCCTTCATCAACGTTTTAAATTCTCAGTAATACTGGCCAATTTAACCTAAGTATGTTTCAGAGTGGTTTCACTGAGTAATTCATTATCGCCAGATTTTCTGGTGCCAATTTTTATTACGTTTTGGTTACATTTCTAACTTTAATGTTCAAGTTAATATGTCATATTGTGCCCATTTTTAAATGTATTTACTGTCCTTTACATGTTGATATTTCATTTTTGTAACCATGTATTTCAGCCGCAAGAATGCAAGACATTGGATTTGTAATAAACCAGAAAAATAATAATAAAAATAATAACAACAGCTATAGATCAGGAAATGTTAGTTGTTTAATGGTGCACACTGACTATTGATGTTTTCTAACAAAATGTTTTAAAAGTGTGCTTGTTTATGAGCATAAAACATTCCAGTCAATGGATTTACGACGTGGAAAAATTGTGGAATAATCTTTGGTGGTAACGTTATGGAAAATGAAAAAAAATATCCGCTCTCGGCTTTCGCACAGCGTGTTGAGGTATGGATCAGTGTTGTAGTCACCAACAACTAATGTGACTCGAGTGGAGTCCGAGTCACGAAAAATGTGACTCGAGTCTGACTCGAGTCCGAGTCCTGGGCTCGATTCCTACAACACTGACATGCATCATATATATATTTGGTTTATTGCTATTTATATACAATTGTATGCAATAGAAAGTGTAGTGGTTTTCGTGCACAAAAACATTAAAATACATTAAAACTTTATATTACAAACATTAAACTACCATATCATTAAACTAATTCCCCCTTAAAATATCTCTCTCTCTCAAAAAAGTCATTAACAAGACAAAATAATGATTACGCAGTTAGGTTACTTTATTCCATTAAGTCCCCTGATCCCCTGAAGAAAAAAAGAAAGATGCATAATGACATAAAACAAGCAGCAGCAAAGCAGTAAAATAGATAGCCAGTCTCATTCAGGGGAGTCAGTCAGTCAGTCAGTCGGTCAGTTGATGGGGAATCGGTCACTCAGGGAGTCAGTCGGTCAGTCAGTCAATCGGTCAGTCGGTCAGTCAGTCAGTCGGTCGGTCAGTCGGTTGGTCGGTCGGCCGGTCGGTCAGTCGGTCGGTCGGTCCGTCGGTCGGTCTGTCCAGTCAGTCAGTCAGTCAGTCAGTCGGCCAGTCAGGAGCAAAGAGGAATACAGGATGGCTCCTTTTGGAACAGCTCACGCAGGTTTTATCAGCTTAACATGTTATATCTTGTTAATGTTCCTGCCTCTAATATTGAAATGTTTAAATCACCTTTACAGATGAGAGTTACGTGGGGCTGATCGTCGGTGTTTTAGTGGCCGTCACCGTGGTCTTAATAGTTATCGTTTTCCTGATATGCTGGAAGCGTGATAGAGTAAAAAGAACATTCTTTAAAGAAGATGTACACCTTGAGGGACCATCGATTTTATCCGGTGAGTAGGAATCACATCCCTTCAAAATGGTTGGTTTTGCTTGGGCAGTTTACTTTTTTAATTCATTACTGGGTAACCCATTTAATTGGGAAGCCCACGAGTCTCTGGTGGGGCCTAATAAAGAGATGGCAACGTGAACAAGTTACAGTTGGCGAGGTTGGAATGGAAAAACAGCAGAACAATATTTCGAGGACAGAGACTGAAAACCCAATCCACATATATACCAGGACCGGAACCAAACCACAGTCACAGCGGTGGAAGGCGAGGAGCCGCTCTTCCAACCCGAAATCCCCCCACACATTTCTGTTAAAGGGAATGTACAACATTACTCGCTGCAATTTTCAGGAAATAAATGCATAGGGGAGGATTAGTATGTGATAGCAAATATTGTTAAGCTGACGTGTTTCACGTTTTGGGCTCTGAAATGCTGGAAAAACCAAGAAAATCAATTATGTTCCTGTAGTCCGGTTCCCTGACCCCACTGAAGATGAAACACAGCAATTTATAGACTTTTGGGAATAGAAAGGTCAGAGAATCATTCTGGCTAGCTTGTTTTTCTTCACATGTGTGTAAATATGGATAATTTGGCTCAGTTTTTCGAAAAGGCCAGTTTTCTCCAACGATGGTCGGAAATTTCTACTGTTCTTTTAAATGTCAGCACACCAGGAGTCACAATGTTACAGGATGCTTTAGTCTGTCATTCCTTAACAATCCAGTGAGGTATTTTGTGATAATTTGATCATTTCGCTGTTTGATGTTTGCAAATGTTGTATCTTCCCTTTAAGTGATAAGGATATTGTTTTATTTTATTCGTTTCTGTTTCATACAACGCAGGAAACCAAGACGAATGGACGCTCGAATTCTACTTGGGCCCCAAGGGAAATAACTTTGGAGGTAAATTTTTATCCCTGAAGAGTGTCGCCAGTTTTAACAGCTCGTACCTCGCGGTTCTCGATGACAACGGTTTGCATACATTCTCACCCGACCTCACTGGCCTGGATCACGTGACCAAGCTGAAAGCTACGCCCAAAAACTACGTCACCATGGTAACCCACCCTGACGGTCGTTTTCTGCTTCTGGGCACCAAAAACGGAGACGTCACCAGCGTGAGTTTCAAACCTTTCAGTGAAAAGTTGTTGTGTTCGTTGTCGGAAGAAAAAACTGACACAGACGAGAAATACGAAGACTCTGGTTCCATTCATGAAGTAGAAGGCCCGGCAACTCCTTCTAGATTTTTCACCGGAATTACAGATATCATTACAAGCAATCCTCACACTCCCAAGCAGACGACAACTACTGATTCTGTCCCAGACACAGAACCTGCTACTAGTAGTGAGAGTGTCGCTTTAACCATGGTATCGCATGAGCTCACTGACCTCGCTGTAGATGCAAACGGCGACGTATATGCAGGAGACAACAGCAACCACACTGTCACCATTTTCACCCCAGGCCAAAAGGGTTGCTCAAAGCGATCCTTTGAGTTAAAGTTCCCCCCTAAAATACTAGCTGGGGGTTCGGAGGGAGAGATATTTGCGCATAGCGGTGACCACAGAAGCCCGATAAAACGCATAAGGGTCAATGGTGAAAAAGAAGAAACGGTTTTTCTAGACGTAAAAAACTCACCTATAAATCCCGTCGATGTTCTTGTAGACAATTCGCATGTGTTCATCGTCAGTGATACTAACGTCAACGGGCAGATGGAGATACTACAGTATGACAACAAGGGCAATTTCCTTCGGCCGTTTGTCAAACCCTGGCTGGGTATTCAGGGGATGTGCATGTTCGCGTCTGGAGAGAGACTAGCGTTGTACGATCACTCCATCGTTAGGATATACAGGAAGCAGCTTGCTAAGAACCGCGTGGTATACGCGACAGAGTTAGCGTGATGGAAGATGGTGATAGACTCAATTCCAGCCACAAAGATGGTCTTGATCACTAAGACTGTTACATGAAATGGCTTGAGCAAATGGGTATATCACGGAATTTGTTTGTGACGCCAAAGGACTCAGAAATGAAAGCCAATTGGTTTGCGTGCAATCACTGCGGTGGGAAGGCAATATAATTATTAAATAAAGCTAAAGTGTGAGTAAAAAAGTAGCAGAAACCCAAACCCTACAAACATTCAATATTTTTTTTTACCATTAAATTGAGATTTTATCGCTGGTGGTGTTTGAAGACAATTGTGAGGACGATTCTTTAAATCGCATATTTGTCAATGAGTTGAAGGGTCATTGTGTTTAAATGGTGATATTCTTTGAACGGATTGAGCAATTTCATTTTTTTTTGTTACATCTAAAAGTAGTTTATGAAATTGGCTTTCCAGTCATTGTTATGTTTGGTGCTACATATTTTGTTAAAATATGAAATATAATTTTGGGGGTTTGGGTTCCGCTTTTTGTGACTGATCCTGTAGTTTGCTTATTCAAAAATGGAAATTACATTTTCTTTTTTTAGAGAAGTAAATGTTTTGCACTCGCCCTGTTTTTCGCTGTAAAACGCAATCACATTAACGCAAACTCACATTAAAAACATTAAATAAAATAAAAAATCGAGCAAACAGTGAATAGTCTATGAACACAATTAGAAGTAGTCATTTAACGGTTAACATTTAACAGTTATTTCAAAGAAAATAAATCTATCGGAAAGTGCTTTTCAAAACTTTAAGAAAAGTTATTGTAAAGAAAATTATTACACTGGAAAGTGCATTTTAAGTTTCAACAGATGATGACTTGTATATTGAATAACTTCGTAGAAAAATAGTATTTCATTTTTCACTTTGTAACACTTGATTGTAATCAGATGTACATTCTCAAAAACACAAACGAATGAGATACATCCACTAAAATTCATCATATAATGCTTGAACTCTATATACACACGGTACTGCGCAGATACAGGAAATTAAACAGGAATTATATTGGCTGAAATTGTCAAATTTGCACTGGCAATAATTTAAAACAATACAAAATACAAAAGGTTTATTATGACATTTCGTATCCAAACATTGTATCCAAACATTGATTTTATGTGTCTTATAATACATGCAATAAAGTTTGTACCGACTAATTGAAATGCATTTTATTTTGTTCGTTTTGATATTTTGGTAGTGCCACCACATACAGGTGCACGCGGAGAAACGCATACTTTTTTAGCTTCACAGGGGGCAGTTTATAGACCAGTATTAAAGTTCTAACCATACCCTACTTGTGGGGTGATGTTCCTTTCAGAACATATCATCCCACTATTGCTACAATAAAAAAACATCATCCCAGAAAAGAATCTTTAGAAAAAGGGATAATGGGAACACAATGCTATCACCCAACTATTACGTCTGGCTGGGTTGTCCGCACACCTATCCTTGTTTGCTCCAAACATTATTCGCAAAGAACCCATTTCCATGCAATATGAAACACACTGATTTATTTAGCTTCAACATCAGAATTAAACTTTTTGATGCTCACTCGCAGACTTCAGTCTTTGGTCTGCCCTTGGCTAGACAACTTACAATAGTGTCAACAACGTTTATACGAGGGCCGCCCGATAGTCCAAAGGTCCGATAGTCCAAAGGTTCTTTAGTCCGAAGGTTCCATAGTCCGAATGCACAGAATTCCCATAAGAGGGGGTTCGTTAGTCCGAAAATGAAATAAGGTTCGTTAATCCGAACATTTGATGCAATAGTCCGAAGGTTCATTAATCCGAAGGTTCATCAGTCCGAATGTTCATTTATCCGAAGGTTCGAAAGTCCAAATTTAGAACAAGGTTAATCAGTCCGAAGGTTCAATAGTCCGAAAGGAAAATAAGGTTCAACAGTACGAAGGTTCAATAGTCCGAAACGAAAATAAGGTTCAACAGTCCGAAGGTTTATTATTCCGATTTGACTTTAAGGTTCGATAGTCCGAAAATACTATAAGGTCCGATAGTCCGAATCGACAATAAGGTCCGATAGTCCGAATCGACAAAACGGTCCGATAGTCCGAATCAAAAGTAAGGTCCGATAGTCCGAAGTGTCATACTGACGAACCGTATTGCCCATTCGGACTATCGAACCTTATTGTCAATTCGGACTATCGAACCCTACCGTATATTCGGACTATCGAACCTTATCTTCTTTTCGGACTTTTGAACCTTATTGTCGATTCGGACTTTCGAACCCTATCGTATATTCGGACTATCGGACCTTCAGATTAATTAACCTTGTTCTATTTTCGGACTAATGGGCCCTTTGGACTATCGAACCTTCGGACTATTGAACCTTCGGACTATATGGCTGTAACCGTTTATACAGCGTATGTAGCAATTTATACAATGTATAAAATGGTCGAACCTTCCCGCTAACTGAATAAAAGATACCCACTAAATAAGCAGTATTTATATAGAGCCTATGTCCGGATCGCGCGCTATTAGTCTGACACAGAGCTATATGTTCGCGTTCCCTGGAAACATACTGTGCCGACGGCGGATCATGAAAAGTCTGAGTATCACCCCTTATCCACTGAGACAGTCTCCGTTTCATGTCTGATATATGAAAGCATTCAAAATTATGCGATCTTTGGACTCGGACAATCGGAGTCGACTTTACTAAATCGTGAAGTCATTTCATTCCCAAATCATGACTAACAGTTATTTGATTGATTAATTCGAATGCAGTATTTTTGTAATACAGCAACAGCTGATCACAAATCGCGTAACTTAATACAGAGCACGTGACGCAGCCTTTTTTCGCTTTATCTAGGTTTTTTTTAAATCCTTTTGTCGATTATGCGTCAACAGATTCGCTGATTAATTAATCAAGACCCTGCCTCTTGACCTCCTAGATTTTGACCAATCAGGGGCGCTTTGTATATCGGGTTTTCTGTCATTCACCCGTTTCACGTCATGGACAATGTATAAAAAAAAAACATGTCACGCACTCTGTATATTGTTACGCGATATCGCGCCCGGCTGTTGTTGTATTACAAAACACTGCATTTGATTTGACTGATCAAACCATTTTGTCCTGATTTAGGAATGAAATTACGTCACGATTTAGTAAAGTCGACTCCGATTGGCTGGCGCGCGGCTTGCATATATCTGCATGTTTAGACATATCTGACGTTATACAGGATTTGGCTCCCTGGATAACGGGTAATGCTTGGACTAGTCTATAACGCGACAACTGGTGAATGACCAAAGACCCAACGTAGAGAGCGCTCGCTGATTGGTCAAAATCTAGAGGTCAATATGCGGTTGTCTTGCATAATTATTCAAGGAATGTGCTTAAAAATAACAGGTCTTGGCTTTCGCCATGGTCTATTACATAGACTAGATTATGACTGGATGATTATAAAAGGCTCCAAAAAGTGTCCATTTCAGATGCATCCGGGCACAGCTAGCAATTCTATGACGAAGGCCCCCTTAAATTATTGTGCTAGCTACTGTACAGATAATGCGTCACGAGGCAGTACAGCTTTGTACAACAGTTCACTGACTTTTTGACAGACCGACCGACCAACCCACCCATCACCCAACAACCCATCGACAGACCCACCCACCGACCCTCCGACCGAACGACCGACCGACCAGCCGACTGCTTACTCCAAGACTAACTCCAAGACTGACTGTCTGACAGACTAACAGACTGACAGACTGACTGTGAATTCTGACTTGGCATGGTGGTTGCATAAGTGTATTTTAACTCCGGAAAATTTCGCATCGAATGTTTCGCGACGCGAAGATGAATACGAATATCCGATCTGACGTCAGGACACACTTGCTGCAAAATTCGCAGGAGTTGAAACGTGTTTTTGAACTTTTCCAAATTCGCAGCGCAAACAAAAGTGAGGTGACGTCAGAAATTTGCGTATAGGGTAATTTTAGAACATGATGGGATGCTTTATATCTCCAAACACCGTTTTGTGTATTATGGAGTTTTGGTCATAATGATGAACGCATTCAGCTATATCGTGTAGCTCTGATTGACAATAAACTCTTTGTGTTGACGTGTACTGTGGGTTCACAATGCTTCCGTGTTTCGCAATAAATCTAGGTTTTCCCCATGGCAAGTGAGCAACACATTTAGACTGGTTAAAGATATACCATTGAGGTCATCTAGGCAATCTTAACTACAGGGCCTGCGTTATTCGTTGCTATATCTGCCCCAGTGAGTAATGAAGAACTGCTTCAAGTTTAGGCTGACTATTTTTGGATGCATGACATCATCTCTGATGCTGTTGCGCTCTGTAGACGCTGCTCCATCACCTCAGTTTATTCCAGGCATTTCACACCCACGGTCACAGTAGACAGCAATTGTACATCATACTCAATCGCACAGTTCACAGATTAGTTCTTGGTAAAATTGTAAAGTACCTTGCAGCAAATTTTTATCACACCAGTTAAAACCAGTTGCGCTTCCGTAGATGAGACTCTACAACTGGCAAACCGAAACACTGACCGCAGCAGTGCGCGTGAACGAAACTCTACAGTTACACTGAGTTCAAACCTCTGAGTAACCTCAGCGTATAAATATCGTTTCAATCCAAAAGCTGAAGCAAAATTCTTGAAGCAGATTTGAGTTTGATACCCGATGGACTGGTCCAAACGAGCATCCAAGCCAATGACCCAACAAGCAAACTACGAGATTTCGTCATGAAAGAAAACTAACTCAAGGGATGGCCACAATGACAAATGTTATTGCTGGTGAGTCTGATAAGTAATCTTCGATCAATCATTCCTAGTTAGTCGGCGTGCTGTTTACAATCGATAACATATCCGTGAACGGGTGTTTGTAGCTAGTCTGGTTGATTCCTCGACTTGAAAGTTCCCTTACGCCTATAAATTGCTCCGTTTCGTCCAAAGTAGGGTCAGGGAACCAAACTACGAGAACAGCATTTTTTTCAGCCTCTATGAACACAATACTTTAAGAAGTT